CTCTGTGCGTGTTTAACCGGTTACTCGCAAGCATTCACTCTGTCCTTATTTGCCTTCTCCTTCCAAACCCCCATCTCAAATTCTAAACACCACACAAACCTTTCTACAAGACATTGTCCTAAGATTCAAACATCGAAGTTACCTCTCTCTCTTTTACTAAAGTTATGGGCAATTAGCTATTATACCACGAGCCTCGGTAGCCAAGCTAAGTTTTGGTTTATCATAATTGTTCAAAACCATAGATTTCTCTTATTGGTAATAACCATTTAAGAAAACCAAAGCACACTCTAGGAATTTGCACTATTTCTGGGTTCTTTAGTCCAAATCTATAAACCTAAGAAAAGGGGCAACGTCAGAATCAAACTCGTTTGTTACGACGGTACAAGAATTCCCGTAAGTCAGAGGAATGGAAAGCAGAGAAACCATCAACAATTGGAAAAAAGACGGAAAGCAGAAAAATATAACCGCCGTAAATAACATTAAACTAAATACAGGTAAATACACGAAACCTAAATGCAGAGGCTTATGATCCATAACGCCATACACCAAGTAAAGTGGGGTTTGATATCATTTGTCACAACTTAGCTGGAGACATCCACTTGTTTACACCAATCATACTTGATATTTTAGAAGGAACATTAACAAATGAAGCTCCATTTAATGCTTATATTATATAGGCTAAATTGACAAGTATATTATAATATATGATTCAACGCACATACAAGCTACCCAAGTTACTTGGTGATCACACACGTCCCTTTCCACTTCTCGCTTTGGCCAATGTTTTTCTATAAGACTTTACTCCCATTTCTAACCACGCGTAAACTCAATCTTGTTATGAATGAAATCTTCAAGCTTTAACGGTAACCTCAAACTCTATTTTTAATTTAAAATCTCTGGATTATTTTGGATCATCTGCTATGTGTTTCTTGTGCAAGGATCTGGTCTTGATTCATGCTAGTTTTCTCTAAGGTATCTTTCACCTTTTATTGGATGTTCGACCAGGACAAGTTTTGTTCGTATATATTTCTTGTTAAAGACGGCCCCTTCAAGAAAACTACCCAAAAGTCAAATTCCAGAAACGACCAAGTCAAATAAATACTGCAACCATGAAAGGGCAAAGGGTGCAGCCCAGTGCTTGGACTTTCCAGTCAATTGTGTACCAAATAAAATAAAGGCAAATAAATCACTGATCAAGAGTTATATACTGGAAAATCGAACACCAACTCTTCCAATGAAGAGTTTGACAACAACCATTTCCTTGCCTGCGCGTGGGATTATGGAGTTAATTAATTGATCAATCAACTCTATGGTGCAAGTTGCAACGACCCAGTAGAGAAAGGCTTGGTTTTTGTGGTATAAAAATCAGTTGGGTTTTTAATCACGGATTGAAAAAGCTATCCACAAATCTCTCTCTCTCTCTCTATCTCATCCTTGTTTTGTGCCATAATCATAGCTTGTTTTCAAGTTTGAATGGAGCACCTGTTGGGCCTTCTTAGAGTTCGAGTGCAGAGAGGGGCAAACCTTGCTATTAGAGATGTCACTGCCAGAACCAGCGATCCTTATGTTGTCATCAAAATGGGCAAGCAGGTAACTTGGTTCTCTTCTCTCCATATGATTTCATGTTTTGTTTTTGTTTCTGGTTTTTGCTGGAATTGTGGACTTTAAGTTTTAGGGTTCTGGTCTTGGACTTTAAGGTTTGTGGATTTTTGGATTGCTTTGGTGGTCGTTGACTTCATGGTCAAGCTTTTCTTTATATTTTCAAATATTTTAGCCAGTTAGAGTCGACCATGTTCGATGTAAATTGTAAAACAAACAAAGATTGTTCTTGTTGACTCTGTTTTCTGGGGTTCCTTCAACTTCTTCCTTAATTTTTGCAGATGATTTTGTCTCTGTCTTTACCTTTAAATTCAATCATATTTTGATAGGGTTTTAATTGCACGATGCTTTCAAATAAGAAGGGGAAACAAAACTTCAATGATCTGTAGCTTTGTCCCTCTGCCGATCTGCTCTGCTTTGAGTTGGTTAAGGTTCATTTGTGTATTGTCACTGATGGTTTATAAATGTGTTGCCTGATGCAGAAGTTAAAGACTCGTGTAGTGAAGAAGAGTACCAATCCCGAGTGGAATGAAGATTTAACACTTTCAATTGCAGATCCAACTCTTCCAGTCAACATTGTAACTACTTTTTCTTTGGCTACATACTAGCTGCATTTCACATTAAACTTAAATTTTACATATCTTTACTGAATGATTTGTGGTGCTGATGTTGCAGCACGTGTATGACAAAGACACATTTACTCTTGATGACAAAATGGGGGATGCTGAGTTCGAGATTGGCCCGTTTCTTGAAGCGTTACGGGTGCGAGTGCAAGGCGTACCAAGCGGAACCGTACTTTCCAGAGTGCAACCGAACAGGCAAAACTGCCTAGCTGAAGAGAGCTGCATCATCTATACTGATGGCCAAGTTGTCCAGAACATGTGTATCAGACTGAGAAATGTGGAGAGGGGGGAACTGGAACTCCAGTTACAGTGGATTGATATTCCTGGTTCCAGGGGTTTGTAAATTTTCTTGTCAAAGTCCTCTGCTTTGGCGTTATGGCAGAGATTTGGAGCATTGTAATACCACCAGCTCTGGATTGGATGAGTTTCTTCAATGGGTTCCTTTGTTAATAGGCTTAAAAACAGAGTGGTTTTGAGTGTATCCTGCCCTTTATTATTGTAAACTTGTTGAAAATAAAATAGACAAGAAGATGCGTAAAACATATGTTCGAATGATGAATTTGTGTGTCACAATCGATGTGGGTATTCTCCAGAAATGAAAAATGCAGGGATTCAATTTCCTATATGATCCGAGGGTTGCAAGTAATTGATACTGCATTGAAAAATGAGGTTTGGTCAAGGGCAGTCGATGCTTGATCTTGATGGTACATCAAAATTTGGATATTGTTTTCCTTTTTTCCTGAAAAATACGGTTTCACGTATGTGCAAAAAATCACGGTTTTCTAACATCTCTTACTTGACGTTGAAGAGATATACTGGTGAGTGTTAATTTTCTTTCTCTGAAGAAATGTAGCAGATGGAATTCTGTCACCACTAAACACTGCTTGTTGTCAAGAAAGAGATTTTATGTCAACAATTCATTTTCCTCTATGTTTTCCTCAATAAATTCAGCCATTTGTACAAAAGGTATGCTTTAAGATACATAATTTTCAGGAAAGCCGTATTTTTTTAAATTTTTAGAAAAGAATGTGAATTTCTGGACATGCACAAAACATAAAACAGAAAGCTGAATTATAGGCATTTTTTAAACCTGTTAGGTAAACTATTTCCTACCAAGAGTACTAGAATGGAATGAGTGACTTCGTTGAGAACTGTAGTACTATATTGGTGGTGGGGGGCCATAAGCAGAAGAGAGCTTCAGAATGGACCCAAAAAGAATGGTTTAGGTATGTACCAAACAATGGGCCAAATCCTTGACAGATGCAAAGCTACATATGAGGCTATGGCTTCTACAGCAAGGCCTATGTCACCTCCTACAGTTTGGCTATAGAATTTCGCACTAGAAGACCTCAATATAAATCGTTGTTCAATTTGTGGCCAGTAATAGTAAAAGCCACAGTTTTTCCTGGCCAAAATGAGTTGGCCATCGACTGACATGACAATGTTTAACTTGTTTAAATTATTCAAAGCAAATGAAACATAGTCACAACAATTGGTGTCCAAATATTAATGAAATAAGTTGTTGTTTTGCCTTATATAAAAAGGTTAATTACAGTTTAGTACTATATGATTACACCCTTAAGATATGTTAGTTCCTATTTTTAAAATTTTTACAATTACATACCTCGGTCTTTTAAATTTATTACAATGTGGTTCCACTGTCAGATATCACCGTTAGTTGCCTACGTCACTATGGGTCCCACATTTTTCGTTTTTTTAATTTTAAATTAATTAAAATATGAATAAAATATTTAAAAACCAACTAAAAAAAAAAGAAAAAAAAAACCATCATCTCTCTCTCTCTCTCCCTTTGGGTTCTGCGGGTTGTGGGTGGGGGTGGGAGGAGGGTGGAGAAGAAATCGATCCGCGGAGTGGAAGGAAGAGGGTGTTTTTGTGGGTTCTGGGTTCATTTTGGGGTTAGAGCTACTTGCCGGTGGTGGTTATGGGGGAAAGGGGACGAGAAAGGGCTCTAGGTTAGAGGGATGCGTTTAGGGAATGGATTGTTGAAATGTAAATTGACTAGCTAATTTCTTGTTAGTTAGTAATTTATTTAGTCTGTTTTTACTCTTAGCTTCATAAAGCATTATGTTAGTTAAGTGACTTGAGCTCATATGCCAAGTGTAAGGTGTAAAGCAGTCAGCTAGTTTTCAACAGCTCTTAGGCCTTGTACTGCCATGTGTCACATTCACATTGGCCCTTGTAATAGAATGGTACTGATTGGCTGATGTAATGAGAGCGAATGAGAAAGAATACAAAAGGTGTGATCTCTGCAACGGTTTTGTAGATCGCACCAGAGAACATTTCCAAATTCTGTTTTCTCCTAGCTACCTCTCTCACTCTCTAGATCTTGAGCTTCCTTGATAATCCAAAATCCATATCTTAACATGGATGGCTTGTGATGGGGAAATGGGGCGAGAAGGGGCACTGGTTCTGCATGTGGGGGATGGGTCTGGAGACAAATGGAGAGCAGCTCACGGCTTTTAAGAGCCCTAAAAGGAGAATTAGGGAGGAATTTGAAGGGAGGGAGACTGAGTCTGAGGCTAGCTTGGAGGTCCTTGGGGTGTTTGACCTATTGACCAACACCATAACCCCTTAGTCCCATGAAGACTTTCATTTGGAACAGCCAGGGTAGTTCTTGGCAGGATTTTATCTTTCAAATGCTTTTTTTAAGTCTATATTTTAGATTCCAGAGCCACCTTACTTAGGGCTGAGGCCATTGCTCAGAAACTGCATCTTGGTGGTGTCTTTTGTATCCCTGCCACAGGGTAGTGTGGAGGGATTATTTTATGCTGGAATCCTAGTTATGTGAATTGCACTACTTTGAATTTCCATGATCGTTTTGTGCACTGCTTTGTTACATGATATTTTGTCCAAAAAGTCTGGGTATGCAACTTTTATTTATGCTTATCCTCAAAAAGATAAACAAAGAGACTTATGGAAGTTAATCCTTAATTTTAAGCCTTTCATCTTGGAACCTTGGGCTTTGCTTGGGGACTTTAACAACATTTGCTCTTCATATGAGAAAATTGGAGGATCTACTTCAAATAGTTCATTCCATAGAGCCATTTTGGCTTTCAATGCTTTTGTGAATGATTGTGGTACTATATCCCTTCTTGCTGAAGGTGTGCCTTTTTTTTTTTGGTAAAAGAAGGTGTGCCTTTTACTTGGTCCAATACGATGCTTTTATAATTTTTGAAAGGCTTGATAGGGTCTTAGCTAATTCGGATTGGCTGAATTTATTTCACAAGTATGAGTTCTTAAACATGCTTATTTGCAGTTCGGATCATGGCCCCATTATCCTAAGCAGTTCTAATCCTAGGACTAGAGTTCACAAAGCTTTTAGGATGGAAGCCATGTGGCTTTCCCATGCTGATTTCCCTCGAATTGTCAATCAATCTTGGTGCCATTCTTATGTAGGAAATCCAACTCAACAAATTTCTACTTGTTGCAAAACCTTCCAAGTTCACTTGAGGAGGTGGAACATTGAGGTTTTTGGGAATCTCTTCCAACAACTAAAAGAAAATAAGCATCCATAATGATGCAATCTATTTCTTAGCTAAAATTTAGCTAAAAATATAAGAAAGCTATTTTAGGAGCTCTCTAAAAAATTTCAACTCCAATCATACTCCCTAATTTGGAGAGTTATAAATGCTATAACTATTTTTTGATTGGTCTATCTCTATTAAAAAATAAAATAAAAAATAGTTAGAATTAAATAAATGGTTAAACTCATTAAATAAAGCAGAATTAAATTATAGGGAGCCACTAGGAGTCCTTTTTCTCTCCTCAGATTTAGGAGTTCTTAGAGGACTCCCTATTTTAGGAGGTGGATAGGGAGCATGGTTGGAGTTGCATTTTTATAATTCCTCCTTAAAATTTGTCCATAAAGGTGGTTTAGAGAGCCCATTGTGGATGCTCTAAACTCAAGAACACTTAGAAAATATCCAAACCCAATTAGCGAACTCTCCCACCTCCACCACTACTACAAAAAGTGACAAAGACGACCAGAAAAAAACGACGGTCTAAGTGAAAACCGTCGTCGTTTTTTAAAAGACGACGGTTCTATAAAACCGCCGTGTAATAACACCTTAGACACCTAAAAAATGGAGATTCAAATGGTTGTTCATAAACAACGACGTACCTAATTAAAAAACCAACGTCTATTTGAAACAGGATTTCTGCAGTGTAAAATCAAAGCAAATAAAGAACGGCAGAAGTTATGAATCGACCGACGTAGAAAGTAAAGACGACGATTTCAAAAAAAGCCGCCGTTTTTACACAAAAAATAACACGACCAAGTTTTCGTATAAGGCGCCATATAATTACAAATAAATCCACGGCGGTAAAATACAAAATATCGCCATATTAAATTAATGTACAACGACGGAAAATAAAAATATATTGACGTCTTTCTTGTATAGTTCTACGACGGTATCTTTAAATCTCACCAAGTTTGTTTTTCATTTAACGACGTATTATAAAATTTAACGTCGTATTTATTCCCTTTATACGTCATACCTTATATTTAAACCGTCATCTTAATAAGAATTTTTTTTATCAATTTATTTCTTTGATTTTGTTATCATACGTCATACTATATGTAAAGATGACGCTTTTTATATTAAAAAAAAAACGTCGTCTATTATATGTAAAGATGACGATTTTTATAAAAACCGTCGTCTATTATGTGTAAAGATGACGATTTTTATAAAAACCGTCGTCTATTATATGTAAACAAAAGCGTAGTCTTATTAAAAAGGTTTTCTTCAGAGTTAAAATCTGACCAAAAAACAACGACAGCAGGTATGACAAGCGTCGTCTTTTATATGTAAAGATAACGCTTTTTATAAATAAATAAAAAAGGTCGTCTATTATGAAGTAAAGTTGACGGTTTTTTTAAAAATGGGTCGTCTATTATATGTAAAGATGATGGTTTGTTTAAAAAAGGGTCGTCTATTATATGTAAAGATGATGATTTGTTTAAAAAATGGTCGTCTATTATGAAGTAAAGATGACAGTTTTTTGTTTTTATAAAAAAATGGTCGTCTATTATATGTAAAAATGATGGTTTGCTATAATAACCGTTAAATCATGATTGTTCATTTATAACCGTCGAATTTTTTTGTCCCGTTACTTTATCTCTGAATGTTTATTTTTT